TCAGATGCGCTCTCGGCCACTGATCTATGCTCGGGATTATAATCTTTTATAATTATCATTGGCTGATAGAAATGTTTTAAAAAATAGTATTTTAGATGGTAATAAGAACAAGACCCTCGATTACGTCATGATCTATTCTGTCGTGCAGCGCTCAAAATTGTGGGCAAGCCAGTTCCACCGTAAAATAACCTCTGAATCGTTTTTTTTTAATTTTTTTAACTGGTTCATTAAAACTATCTATCCGAATCAGGAAACTAATCAGACTTCTAATCACGTTTAGCGAGCATGAGGGAGGCGAATGGTAATACAAATATAAAAATGAAAATAATCTTTTATCTCACAACTCTCGTAATTACGGCTTTTAGCGAGCATGAGGGAGGTGAATGGTGCTTCTCAAACGGAAGGCTGCATCCTAAAAATCGAGGAATCGATTCCTTTTGGAATCGATTCCCAGCCCTAGCGTCAGCTGTATGCGTGCGCGTGCGCGTGAGGTTGTACGTGTGTTTATTTATTTCTGAGCCAAGCGTTTCGTCTTTCAACCGGTGTAGGGATTAAAACAGCGTCGATCCAGAATGATCTGAAGTAAGAGAAGGTAAATGTGCTGTTATGTCTGTTTAAAGAACATGTGTTCTGTTAAAACGTGCGAATCAAGGTCGTCATACATCGCCGCTACATGATTAACGTTAGCTGCATTCCCTCGCAGACAGACAAAACAAAGCAGATACTTTTTCATTAAATGTATTTTTACTGTTCGGTACTTCGTCTCATTTGTGTTTTGTATCGACTGTAGATCATTCTAGGCCCTGTGGGCGACATTAAATGTGCAACGATGAAGGTTTGTTCAAGATTTCAAGGCTTTAGCGGAAATCGCTAGCGAACATCTAAATGTACAAACTGTCTGGTAATACTGTATTATTAATGAACTAATATAAAACTTAACAGAGGAGAATTATAGTTTTAATGCAAGAAATGTATGTCACTCAGTACTTAATGTCATGGGCTTATTGCCTAATGCAGCCTAGAAGTGTGTCACTTTGTGTTAGGTAACAAGAGTTGGCTGCGGGTCTTTACACTCTTAACGATCCATACAACACACTGATGCTTTGCTAGATGATCCAGCCAGACCGTTAATGCTTTCTAACAGTCTAACCCATAATTAAAGTCCAACAACATCCAAAGACAATAATTACCTATTATAAATCTCAGATTCAAGCAGGTCACTAAGATTGAGATGACTTCTGAGCTTGATTTGCTTTTTAATGCACTTTTCTGATCTTATTATGAAAGACTTGAGTAATATCAATAGAATCGTTGAGATACTATGAATAGTTTTTGATATTTTCAATTAGTTTTCATTTTTATATTTTCCATTTTCTTTTGAATTCCAGTTAAAGTTTTAGTAATTTTGTTGTGTTGTCATTGATTTTATTAGTTTTTGTTATATGTCTAATAAGTCTGTTTATATATATATATATATATATATATATATAGTATTTTACTATAAGAAATAAAATATAATTTTACTTATTTTTAGCAAAATGCACTTAATTTAGTTTTTCCCCCTGGAAACAAGACTAAATATCTTTATATCAATTTGCTTATCTAGTAAATGCATCTTAATTAGAGAATTTTTAGATATTTTGACTAGAAACAAGACAAAAATACTAAGTAAGAGGAGCCTTTTTTTGCAGTGAAATTAAATATCCTGCTTTAATTGGTAATTTGTCACATGATGGAAGTAAAAAGGGTTGTGAACATGGTTGATGTGATCTTTCTTTTTCTTGTCTGCGCAGGTCAAGAGGGGCTGGGATGGCGGTGTGTGCTCTAACTGTGCTTGACGGGCTCGGCGAGGAGGCCACGGCTTTGGGCGGCGTGGTCGTCCTGTTCCTGGCCGTGGTTCTTGCCTGGCTGTCTACCCACGTGGCCGACCGCGGAGATCACATTCTGGGGACCATTCTCACCGTGGGCGCCCACGCCTCCCTCATCGGCCTCGGGGGTCACGACAGCTACGCCAACCCCCCGCCCAGCTCAGAGCCCAGCGAGCAGCAGGACGAAGAGCCCGTGGAGGAGGAGAAGCAGGAAGAGGGAGAGGCCCGGCCGGATGGGCGAGAGGATGTGCCTGGAGAGGAGCTGCTGGATATTCAGGGTGGGAGAAAGAAAGTGAGCTATGTTCAGGGTGATGAAAGAGAAGAGGGGAAGGAGGAAGGGACGGAAGAGGAGGCAGAGGATGAGGCCGCCAGTATCACTGTGAGACTGAAGTTCCTGAATGACACGGAGGAGCTGGCAGTACTCAGACCACAGGACACCGTTGGACTGCTGAAGAGGTGAGAGAAACACACACATGAGGCAGGCAGTGAAAAAGTTAACTCTTCTATATGAATTGGAGAAATCAAAAAATACTTTCTTTAAAGTCTGATTTGAACTTAAGTTTGTGTTTAATCTTTAAACATAGGGGAATTATTATATAGTGTAATGGAATTATAATAAATAAAGTCAGTACTAAGTACTAAGTCAGTGTCAGTGTAATCAGTCTGACTTTTAGGATTCAAATTTGACCAATCCTCGTTTTTATATAACTGTGAAAAAAAAGTTGTGATCAGTCTTAAAAAAAATTAGATGACTAACCTTAAATCAGAATCAGAATCAGAATGAGCTTTATTGCCAGGTATGTTTACACATACGAGGAATTTGTTTTAGTGACAAGCTCCACAGAGCAACAGAATGACAGTGACAAGACAAGACACAGATAATGAAAGGAATAATATACAAATTAGACTATTTTGTATGTACAGCTATGTTATGTGCAAAATTGAAATGTAAATAAGTATGTGACTAGTACTAAAACTAGTCTAAGTGGTAACACTTTAGTATAGGGACCAATTCTCACTATTAACTAGTTGCTTATTATCATGCCTATTATTTACACATTGGCTGTTTATTAGTGCTTATAAAGCACATATTCTGCATGACCATATTCTACATCCCTCATTCTACCCAGTACCTAAATGTAACAACTACCTTATTAACTATTAATAAGCAGCAAATTAGGAGTTTGAGGCAAAATGGTAAATGGTTTGTTAATGGCGAGAATTGGACCTTAAAGTGTGACCGTCTAAGCAGTTTATGCAGCCGACCACAGATCTAGGACTGTGAAAAAAATAAAAAAAATAAAATTACTAAAAGTACTTTTTCAGCCTTATTGTAGTCAGTATATACCTTGATTTTTACGTGTTTCTTCTCAAATTACATGAAAGGGTATTTTTAGAAGCCAGTATGTTAGTGACTGGATTTTATTTATTTGACAAATAAAGTCAGTAGGTTTTTAAAATGTGTTTGAAATAAGTCTCTTGTGCTCACCAAGGAATAGACAAATACAGTAAAATAGTAATATTTTGAAATGTCATAAACATTTAAAATAACTGTTTCTGTTTTAATATATTTTAAATTTGTCCACTGCTAAATGTATTCCTGTGATGCAAAGCTGAATTTCCAGCATCATTACTCCAGTCTTCAGTGTCACATGATCCTTCAGAAATCATTCTAATATGCTGATTTGCTGCTCAAGAAACATTTATTATTATCAGTGTTTAAAACAATTGTGCTGCTTAATATTTTGTGGAAACTGTGATATATTTATTTCAAGCTTCTTCGATGAATAGAAAGTTCAAAGAACAGCATTCATTTGTATTTTTTGGAACATTGAAAATGTCTTTACTCTCACTTTTGATCTTACTGACCCCAAACTTTTGAACAGTACTTTAAGTTTTACATTTTCAATATTCTTCATTTTATTTTTCCGAATTTTGTATACATTTCTTTATGTATTACATTTCACACACAAAATGTTTTGCCATCCACATGACCACCTCACCCTGACCGAGTCAGCTGCTTCAGCATTTTGCTACTGATGTTTAAACCACTTCAAAACATTAACGTCTTAATGCAGTAACACTTGCAAGTCACAAGACAGGGTGAGACTGCAAAAACAAATGCATAAAAAAATCCCTCCATTATTCGCTGTTGCTTAATTGCACAAGCAACTCTCTATTGTTTGTTAATGATTTCTCTCTCTATCTCTCCATCAGTAAATACTTCTCTGGCCGTGAACATCAGATTAAGCTCATCTACCAGGGTCAGCTGTTGCAGGACCCTCAGCGCTCTCTCCTGTCCCTCAACATCACCCACAACAGCGTCCTCCACTGTCACATCTCTCAAGCCCAGGCGCTGCGTGAGATGGCCGCAGAGGAGAACCCTCGAGCCGGGAGGGGCTCCATGCTCAGCGTGGGGCTGCGCTCGGCCGGCGTGGCTCTCAGCACAGGAAGCCTGGTGATCCCCGTGTTCGTGGTGCTGCTCGCCGTCGTCTGGTACTTCCGAATCAACTACCGCCAGCTGTTCACTGCCCCGGCCACCATCTCTTTGATTGGGGTCACGGTCTTCTTCAGCTTCCTCATCTTCGGCATGCACAGTCGATGAGAAGACGGACGAAGAGAGGAATGATGCCAGTATTAGGGAAACGATAGGACGTGAAAATAATCAATCAGAGGTAGCCGAGAAAGTTCTCAGGGAGCCCTCGAGGGTTCTGGTGCCATTTAGACGTCTGAAGTCGAGCGTGCGGTGAGATGTGTGCTAGTGCTTTCAGCTTCATTTGTGAGCAGCACAAAGTAACACTGCTATATAACTTAGCTTCTTAAAAATTGTTTTAATTTAATCTCTGTGTAGCTTCTATGTATAAAGTGAAGTCAGGATCCCACGTCCGACTGGGCTTTTCATTTAGAGGAATCGCAATTTGTGTCGACTTGATTGGTTTTTATCAATTATGTGTCTCTTCTTCACTGGTAATAGCACCACTATCTTCTGTAGTAGCAAAAAATGTCATATGTTCAGATCTCAGTACAGTAGTTATTTTGAGACATCAGTTTACTCGAGCTCGTTTTTGATGTTTGTGATTGAAGGATTTTTTTTGTTTCTTTTGCCAGTGTCACTGAAATCTGTATTTATTTCACTTATTTCTACATAACAGTCTGGTTTAGCATGTCTGCTGCTAGTTACAGCTCATAGTTATCATTTAGGACACAAGAGTTTTATACATGATGAAGATTTTCCATGCAAACATACTGGAGTTTTCTAAAGAGACTGTAGAAAACTCACTGCATTTCATATGTGACATCGATAACAAAGCAAATAAGTTTTTCTCTTGTGTAAAATCTGTATATAAGCAATGTATTTACTGTAGATAAATCAAAAGGGGCATAGAGGAACCTTAAAGCTCTCTGACAAGTTTGATGGTTCTTGTATGAATGGGTCACTTTTGTCAGCAATATCTGCATATGTTTTAGGGGAAAACTAGTCTACCTTCTCATTCTCGCTATAACGGACAACTAGCACCTCTTTAATTAAAATGCATTTTGGTTTTGTTTTGCAGTAATTCTGAATAAAATTGCTCATCTTTGAAATGTTTTTGTTCTTATCCACACACACATTGAAGAACGTCTAAACTATATTGGAGCCAGTAACTTCCACTGTATGGAAAAAGTCATACATGCTTGGAAATTGGAATGAAATGAGGTTGAATAAGTCATGACAATTTTTGGGTGAACTGTCCTTTTAAGAGTAGTTTATGAATGAGTGTGAGAACTTTTTGAGTGAGAAACATTTATTTAGACTGTTACAGAGCTACTACAGTTCATTGAGTGCCAGAGCAATAACTGAGCATCACAGAAGAAACATCCACCCACAGCAATGTTATATCCTAAGTTGTACCATGTTTTTGCTTTTTTTCTCCATCATGCAGACATTTCAATTCACATTCAGAGAAACTCTCAGGTCATTTAAACCTCAAGCAACAAAATTCACAAACCACAGCTCAATGATAAAAAAATTTTACTGAAAAAACAATAAGGCGCTTATAAGGGCTGGATTTTATCCATTTAAGTGCATCTTCAATTGCTATTTGCATTTCTGACTTTTTTTTATTTTTACCAACCATATTTTATACAAAACAAGCTGACAGCTAACATAGTAAGTGCTCTAAGGCTCATCGAACTCTTCAGCCATTTAAACATTGTAATCAGAGAAAATGCATGTTACAGATCAAGGAGTCAAAAAGCCATGATTATAAAAAAAAGATACAAACATTGACACTAAACTAAATAAATAGAGTATCAGACAAGAAATATTAGCCATGACTACAAACAAGAATATTAACTTCAAAACAGACAAAAGATTGTGTATCCACAGATTTGGCAGAAAGCTGTCGGTAGCACTATGCAAGTCCATTATTTAGCAGAGAGTATGAGTAGTAGCTTCGCTTGCAGAAAGCAGCTGAGAAGAGATCAACAGGTTCCAGTAACATTAGCAAGACGATATGAAAGAAAGTTACCCTTTAAAACCAGTAGAGGACATTGCACAGATTAACCTACAGTAAAACAAGAGCCAACAGGGAACAAAATATTTGCAACATCCCATTCACATTCATACAATCTCCAACATTCACCATGTCACATTTTCATGTGTCACTGTAAACCAAATCTCATGTATACACACACAAGAGTATGCAATAACACAGTAAAATAAAAACAAATGCTTGCTCCAGCTCACATCCACACACAAAAAACACATTTAATCACAAAAACGCTCACTTTTCAATGTGCAACACTGTGCCGTAACAAATGTACTCTCTTGTGCCCCAGATACAAATGTCTGAAATGGTCCCCAGATATTTTCTCTCTTACACGCATTCAACAGAGAGTTTGTCTCATCTCGTTCATAAACCTTGAAATGGTGGAAACCAGAGATCACATAAGAACTCATGTCATGATCACAAACTCGGTGTGTAAATATGATGCATGTTCATCAGTTCAGGTCATCGTAGATGCTAGGAGCTGGGGGAATGGGCAGTTTTGGTCGCTTTTTTCGACTGGACAGGCCCAGTGCATTCTGGGCGCTGCTGCTCCCGCCGCCGCCTACTACTCTCTCTCGTTCCTGCCCTTTGTCCCGCTCTCCTCCACCTCCAGTGGTAGTCAGAGTCAGTGTACTGGGCTTGTTCTTTTTCTTAGGTATCTTAGATTCAGAGTTATTGGTGCCTGAGAACGAGACTGCGAATAAGTGGAAAAAAAACAGACAGAGGGTGTCGTTTTTAAAAGCGTTCATGAAAAACTCACTGGCTTTTGAAGATGCCGAATCTGATGGTGAGATATCTGAGGAGCCGTCCCACTGGAGGCGAGACATGATTAGTTGGCCATCAGGGGCATCATAGCCGTCGTTTTCCAGCATTGTTTCAGAGTCAGGTAGCATTGACCTATCAGACAGGAAGCAAGATGACTACATAGAGACAAATGCAGAATAAGCACACATTTAACAAGAACCTCAGTTTAAAGAAACAATCAACAGATTTGAAACAAAAGAGATATTTGCAGATGAGCTGCCACAGTTTCTTCCGTCACCCTTTATTTTACAGGTTAATATGGCACATTGAATTTTCAACAAGCATTATTAAAATCGTGAAGCTAAAGAACTTTTTTTTTTAACTTGCTCTGGATAACAGCATCTACGAAGTGCCTTAAATGTAAAGGAGTCTACAAAAGCTTGAAAAAAACGATAGTGTTAATTATGGAAATATTATGTTGAGTTAATAAATGAAAAGGACTAGAAAAATTGGGATTCTTCATGAAAAAAGAAAAAGCATGAGCAAATCATTATTTAAACTGAACAAAACTATCACTAGTAACACTGTGAAATAAGGTTTGTTAAAGGGGTGGTTCACTGTTTTTTTTCTAGGCTTGATTGTTTATGGGGTGCAGTCTAACGTGTTAATGCTTCGTTTTTTTAAAAAAAAGATCATTTCCTGCTTTTATGAAGCCCCTCCCTCAGAAATAGGCGATGGGCTCTGATTGGTTAGTTAGCCCAGTGTGTTGTGATTGGCTAAACCGCCTCTAGTGCGAGTCTAAACGTCCGACCCTCACCTCAGCAGCATGAGCTCCGGTTGTATTGTAAACGCAAGGACGCGAGGAACAGTAGTAAGAACCGCTGCTTTAGAACACTGATTTTGAAACTTGTGAATCCATTAGAATCGTTAGAAGACAGAATCGCGATTCATATACGAATTGATTTTTACATGCACCTCTAGTTTTCTCTTCCTCTTCTCTAAAGCAGTGCAGCATGGCTTCACCCCCTTTTGCTGACTTTTCCCGAGGGCGAGGTTTATCTGGGTTTGTTACGTCACGAACCCGGGAAGTAACTCGTTGTAGTCCCTACCAGCCATTTTTGTATGCATTAAACTGCCAGAATTTTAAAAGACGATATCTCCATTTGCATTGAACTTTCAGCTTCGTAACTTTGCACATATTGTTTATGCTCAAACAGCAACATTACACACTAACATTAAAAAAAGTGAAATCGCAATGAACCACCCCTTTAACATTACTTAATGTATTAGCTCAGTGTTTCCCAACCTTTTTTCAGTCGCGGCACCCTTTGGAAATTAACAAACTTGTGGCACCCTACAAAATTAATTTTGTCACAATATTTGAATTTCTAACTTCGATATGATAATTTTAAAAGTATAGATATTCGGTACAACAGGGAAGAACTGCAGAATATAATGTCATACAGATATTTTTAATATTATTTTAAAAAATTGTCCATCAATGGTGGCAATCAGTAGGCTAATTTCTAATGAAGAGACCAATTTATATGACAGATTTTAATGTAGGCTTTTATACATATGTAAACATTATTTAATTACCATTATAACTAGCTATCTCACAAATTTTTGCTCACTCAGTGTTTTTTTAATTTTACAGTGGGGTAATTTTGGTGCAGTAGCACGAGATCGCTTGATTTCAAACTTTGAATTGAATAAAAAATGACAAGTAAGCAGTCAGTAATAAAATAAGAACAAATAAAGAAGTTAATAATGATAGCACAAATAAAAAATAACGAATTAGATAAATTGCTTTTTAGTTTTTCAGGTGGGTCTAACAGTAGGGTTAAGATATTTATCCATTATATATCCAGATATTATCCAAATAATGTTTAGTCCTAGAAAGCTATTATTATCAGAACACGTGAGCATAACATAGCGGTTAGCAGATCAATGAATGAGAGGGCAGCGTTACCAGAGTTGCCCATATACCACACCATGTTACAACACAGTAGGGCTATTGCAGACAGAAGCAATACTGCATTACATCGATGTTTCCTGTCGGCTCAGTTTTGGAGTGGATTTTGCTGTTCCGATGAGCATGAACGGTATATGAGTGGAGCTGAGCGGAGCGCACACGCATAGAGCGGGATAATACGCAAAGCGTCACACCACGTGAAAGTGAAACCTGAGCGGTGAACTAATTTTCGGCAGCCGAAATTTCGGTGCATCTCTAATTATTGGCGACATCAGAAATGGATATTATATAATAGATGCTTTTTTGAACATTTGAGCAATTTAAAAATATTTTTAAAATTATTTTTTACACGGCACCCCGGTTGGGAAACACTGTATTAGCTAACATGAACTAACAATGCACAAAACATTTTTTACATCATTTATTAACTTTTGTTAATAATAGTTCATAAAAATACAGTTGTTCATTGTTTGTTCATGTTGGGCCTGGAATACATTATATGACTTTTAATATCTGAACAGATTTTATAGCACTAAACATTTGCCGACATATAAATGGTTACAGAGAAAAACCGGACATCATCCCCTTAAAGGGATAGTACACCCAAAAAAAAAAAAATTCTGTCATTAATTACTCACCTTTATGTCGTTCCAAACCCGTAAGACCTCCGTTCATCTTCAGAACACAAATTAAGATATTTTTGATCAATTCTGAGAGCTCTCTGACCCTCCCATATATTTTTGATCAATTCTGAGAGCTCTCTGACCCTCCCATAGACAGCAATGTAATTACCCCGATCAAGGCTCAGAAGCGTAGCAAGTACATCGGTAAAATAATCCATGTGACATCGGGGGTTCAACCATAATTTTACGAAGCTGCAAGATTACTTTTTTGTGTGCAAAGAAAAAAAAAAATAACGACTTTATTCAGCAATTCGTCTCCTCCGCATCACCCTGGCGCCATTTTGGAGAGTATCCACTGAACGTAAACAACGTATGCTGTTCTGTGTCAGCTGCGCCACGCGGATACGTTTTTTACGTTGTTTACACTTTGATCTGAACGAAAACAATGTATCCACAGCTGACACAGAACAGCATACGCTGTTTATGTTCAGTGGATAATCTCCAAAATGGCGCCAGGGTGATGCGGAGGAGACGAAAATTGCTGAATAAAGTCGTTTGTTTTTTTTCGCACAAAAAGTAATCTTGTAGCTTCGTAAAATTATGGTTGAACCCCTGACGTCACATGGATTATTTTACCGATGTCCTTGCTACGTTTCTGAGCCTTGATCGGGGAAATTACATTGCTGTCTATGGGAGGGTCAGAGAGCTCTCAGAATTCATCAAAAATATCTTAATTTTTGTTCGGAAGATGAACGGAGGTCTTACGGGTTTGGAACGACATAAAGGTGAGTAATTAAAGACAGAATTTTCATTTTTGGGTGAACTAACCCTTTAAATCTGTTAAAGCTTAAAGTCATTCAGAACACCACAAAAATCACACTGAAACAATTCTTGTCGCTTTAAATGGAGAACAGTGTTTTCAAAAATTGGCTCAATATATTAAACATGTTTGATATCCGCCGTCTGGATGGAATCATGAAGCTAAGTCTGCACACAATACACTACGTGATTTTCTGTGAAATCTGTCAGCTTTTGACTGCCCAAAATCTGCAGACTGACTGTGGCTTTCTCCAACTAATGTTGGCTCTTCCAGACTGCAAATTGGGGAAAAAAATCTGGGAAAACATTGTGTAGTGTATTCCAGCCTTTAGTTCACAATGCATTAACTACTGTTAACAATAGACGCAAATTTTGACTTAAAATTAGTATTAGTAAATGCTGAAATTTACAACAACTAAGGTTAATAAATGCTTGTATTGCTCATTGCTAGTTTGTGAACAAATAAAATCTCATTGTAAAAAAGAAAAATCACAGCAGACTAAGCTGTACACTGACTCCAGATGGTGTGCCACAAGTCTCAATACTAGGACCTATTAGTTTTTCACCTTTATGTTTGGGCAGCTGCTACAAAGAACAAGCTTGATGAACAGAGGTATATTATATATGAGAGAGAGAGAGAGAGAGAGAGAGAGAGAGAGAGAGAGAGAGGGGGACGGGTGGGAAAACTACTTGTTTTCTGACAGGGAGAGGTCAGGGTTGGGAGAAGGAGTGAAACTCACGCGGACGGCCCAAGGAGAGGAAGACCCTGACTGCCCTACTCTGTTCGTCCGTGTGCAGTTCAACATCTAAATGTTCCTGAATGCAGGGTTATAAGTAGCTTTAACACAGAATTTAAAAAAAAAATGTTTTGGCCAGGCATAAAATGTGCAAAGCCCTTAAATCTCCTAGACTGGTTTCACAGATGTTTCAGCCTTCAGTAAGTTTTTATTCCTCATAATATATGCCTGCTGTGGAAAAATACTTACTCTTCGCTGGCAAGAAAGATGACAAACTTGGTGACTTTCACAGTCAATAAGGTAATGGAAATAAACTCTTAATGCCAGTGAGTGTACCACAGTGTGCATTTGTAAGAATAAAATCACAGATGTTTATTTTTATAGTTTCCCCGTTTCCTACAAAACAAATATGGACTGAATTCTTACCGAGTACACATCTTCTTTGTGTGCTCTGATACGACCCCACATTGCTGAGGAAAGAGAAAGCCTGTTAGCAAGAGGTAAACTCCAGTGGATGAGAGATTGCATAATGCCAATAATACTATTTAATGGCAAAACAGCTGAAATGAAACTAAAATGATTAACACTTATTTCACTCATTTACAAAAAATTCACCAAAAATATCTGAAATTTGATCTTGGTAGATTTTATAACAGAAAAAATAGGAAATACCGCTTCTAATAATGGCCAAAATTATGCTAATAATTGCAGATGTTCAAAATATTAGCTGTCCCCTTTATTTGGTCTACTACAGTGAAATCGTTGACATTAATTTACCACTGAATGCATATACGATAATTTGAGGTGGTCATACACAAAAAACACACAAAAAAAATTCTAACACTCCACTACATGCAAGTATTATTTTAGTTGGAAATATACATATTTTCCTATATAAAGATTTTAATCTACCTGCATTTAAATCTGAAACATCACTATATGGTAGAAAAAAACATCAAGAGTTTGGATAAGTAGAGAAGATAATATTTTTAATTAAATTACGTTTTGAATTGCATTTTTTTGGTGTTTTTATTCTTACTTTATGATGATAGGACAGTTAAGATTTGACAGGAAGCAAAGTGGGAGGGGGGGGGGGGGGGGAATGGGGAAAGGGCCTCGAGCCGGGATTCAAATTTGGGACGCCCATAGTGCAACAGCACTGTATATCGGTGCACTGAAGATGAATTAAGATTTTCTTTCCACTGTAATTAATAATTAAATTATTTGTTAATTATGAGACTTTTATTTGTGGACCTAATCTAGAATTTTTAGATAATTTACTATTCTTTATTTTTTTCTTATATTTATTAGTATTCTTTTTTTTTGGGTGGGGGGAGGGAGGTATAAATAAAAAATGTTCTCTTTTTTTCCTTCTAAAAATAAATCTAATATGTTAAACGGTCTATATAATAATAAATAAAATATGATTACATAAGAATATAATATACTCTTACTAATATATTCTTAATATAATAATATATTCTCTATGTAAGAATATAATAATAATTTATAATAGTTTACCGTAGTCAGTATGGAGCGCAGCTCCTCAGGTCCCAAAGTCTCATAATTGATGCCAGAGCTGTAGTTATACTGCAAGAGTGAATGAGTGAGAGTGAAACAACAATCGCCGTAATACTACAGTAACAAATGCAACAGTGAAAGCAAGAACCAGTGTTATACATATTAAAATAATTAATCATCTCACCTTGTATAGGTCTGGATTGACATTACTGCTGAGCTCTCCTGCAGAGCGACAAGACAAAAAGACTCACAAAAAGACTCACAACACATTCAAGTGAAACCTGCTGTCTGTCATGCACTGCACTACCTTTAAACAACTCCTGAAAGCTAGATTCAGTCAGAATAAAACCCACCGTTCTTGTGCTTCAGGGATTTGGATCTCCTGGGAGAGTTTGGATTCTAAAACACACAGATTTATTTTTAAATATTATTTTCAATTTATTTTAATTTAGAATATTTTGCTTGCATTTTCAACGAGTTCATATCTGATAACAGTTTTATACCTTTTCTGACTTTCTCTTCTTGGCTGTGAAAATAAGAGATTAACTGTTATCATTAATAAAGTGCAACACTTAGAGACAAATAGTGGTGTAGGAAGTAAGAGGAAAAGAGAGAAACAGACAGACTGGATCAGCTCACCTTTCTTTTCTGAACCATAGGACCAGTCGTTGTCATTGATATCATCATTGTCTTCCTGATCGCTTTCTGACTTGCTTGTGTTGTTGCTGCTGGCTATTCTGTAGAAAAAGCAGAACAATCAATGCTTTGAAACGTCACTAGAATTTTCCCTCAGGGATCAATATCTCTCTATCTGGCAGAAAGTGCAATCTCTGGAAAATAATAATTGTTAGAAATGGGTCACCCCCAACAAATTTTCCCACCAGTACATGGCAATAGACTAAAAACACTGAAGAAAAACAACAAAGCTCAGACATTAGGATGAGTAAATCATTTTGGTCAACTGTTGCTTTAAGCATTCCCTTCACAGAATAATGAGTTAAATGGTGTGAGCTCACAGCCCGCTGACCTGCGGTTGGCTATTCGGCTGCTGTTGCGGCCCATGCCGAGACACTTCTCCAGATGAGGAGCAAAGCGAGAGGCCGCAATACTCCGGCTGCAGTTGGGACACACACACTCCTTATTCTTCCCAACGCAGTCACATAAATAAAACAATTACGTAAGTATTTAATTGCTAATAAATTATATACACACACACACACACAGAGAGAACACAAACACTGTTTAAGAGGTTTATTTGCTCATATTGTAAATTGCAGGGATATAACATCTCTTGCTATAGAAAACGTCCAAATGTTTCAAATCTGTAGTACAAATTTCTCTTTTTTTGCCATTTCTACAAATAAACAAACAAACATGGGAAGGGGGTAAAAAAAATAAAACCTAAAACTCACCAAATTAAAAACATGTCCCCAATTGACAAAAAATAATTTTGGCTATAGCAGAATATTGCTTAGCCAACTGAAAATACAAACACAATAATGTTACAATAATGAAAAAACAAAGAAAAAGAAAGCTATATGTACAAATACCTTACAACAGCACTGAACCAACCCAAATCTATTTGAAAGTCTCAAAATCCTATAAAATATCAACAAATCTTGAAAGGTCCACTGGGTTTCTTATCCCGGCCCATCATTCAAATCATCTATAACCAAATTATGTTTTTCAAACTGAAAGAACACAACGTTTTGCATGATACAGGCCTTAATTATTTCGGGTGCCTAGAATAAAGGTCACATGTCTGGTACAGCAAATACAGCATCCAGCTCTGTTTTTACAGCAACCCCCTCAAAATTATACGCTTGTCTTTATATGCAACTTACCAAGGCTCAAAATTTTAGATAGAGGGGAAAATCACTTACAGTGCCCCTATTAAGTTGAGGGCTGCATAAAAATACTGAGTAAAAGGTGGTAGCTCAGCAGAAGAAGCTGGGTTATGGGCTTAACTAAATTTAGTTGCCATATCAGGCCAGGGCATTGGAATGAGAGAATATACCAGTCACCCTCAAAACTGCTCATATATACATAAACACATAACAAATAACGGTACCCCTCTCTTAAATAAAACATCTCCATTACATTCCATGAGCTGGTGCATTAAAGACCTGTGAAGTGGTTGACATTATGGGCTAATGAGTGAAATGAAGAAAGAGGAATACTGAAAAAAAATCACAGGGCTTGTGAGCAAGGGATTCCATCATAAGTGCACTGAATTGTGGGGTAACTCACATCCATCATATTTAAAACATATCGTTTTAAAAAGAAAAAAAACAGTTCTTTGGAGCACCAAATAAAACAGTGGTTGGAAAGAGGAACAAAAAGTCAGCTTCAAACAATACATAACCATTATTAACAAATGGAAGAAAAACATGTTGGTGAAAAAAAAAAAAGACAAGCATATTTCTGCAAGAACATTGCTTGCGTTGCCAAACAATTAACTGATAAACTAGTCCTCCTCGTTATGTAACATCAGTCGGTTTTATTATCTGAATGAACAGTGAACTCAAACCCGTCAGCTGTCACGAAACAGCTACGGGCAGCATTCCTAAAACAGGACAAAAATAAATAGTCCATTTTCACCTTTAACCCCTCATCAGGAGCAGGTAAGGGTAGCACACAAATGCCTGCTGAACAAGAACCGCGTGCGAGACCAGTGGGGGCCATGCGGTGACATTCAAAATGGCTTCATTGTTCCTGAAAATACCACAATTTTTTGAACCGAAAAAGCAAAAACACCAAAGCAAAAATGGAGGGAGCAGGAAAAGGAGAGGAACAACGCTACTAGGAAGAACAGGAGAGGTACAGACAGAAGAAAAGAAAGCAAACATTCTTCAGAGTGCAATTATTTGGTCCCCTGTACCTCCCGAAATAATCTGTGAAACTAAGAGACTCTTTGGCTCATTTACGGAAAAGAAAATGGCACCTGGTGCTCTCTATGTCCTCTAAAATATAAACACGGGGCGTCCTAATAACGCTTCACGACTACTACAAGCCAATAGCAGAGCACTGCACCCTTTTTTTCGGTGTTGGGAGGAATTAAGACCATACATCCTCGTACACGTTGCCTAAAATGCTTTAAAACCTGCCGAGCCAATTCATTGAGGGAGTTACAAATAAAAGCAGAAGTGCAGGGGAGAACAGAACAGAAGAGAAGCACAGGAAAGAGTGTGTGAGAGGTGTGACAGCGGGGTGAGCCCCCTCCTGTGGTGAGAAGAGCGCAGTGCAGAGCAGGCTCAGACCCCCTGGCTCATGGCTCAGTTCACAGCATTTCTGGCAGTCTGTGGGCTCAGTCTGAGTCTGAGTCCGATGAATCGTCAGAGCTGGAAGCGCTGCTGCTGCTTTCTGATTTATTCTCTTTATCCTCAACCTCTTCGTTCTCCATGTCTTCTTCATTCTGGAAGTGAATTTGGAAAGATTATCTTTCATTATTTTCATTCAAAGTATGACAACGTTTATCAGTTGTCGTTAAAAATTCCCTATGGAGAAAAAGAACAGTATTTTTCTGGAACCCGATTGCTGCTCTCCATATTTCTAATCAATGACAAAACCAATATTGCAAAATCAAAGGCTGATCCTATATCATATACATGTTAAAAGAGCAATGTGACCAGCATGCTATGAATCTTACATCGTCATCATCGCTGTCGTCATCGGAGGATGATCCGTCTTCAGATTCCTTCTCTTCATCATCATCGTCATCATCATCATCGTCGTCATCCTCTTCCTCTTCCTTTGGACAAGGTCACAATTGATACAGAACACTCAATCAGTAGGCCTACATGCTGCTAAAAATGTACATAGTGACCGATAAATGCAGAGTGATTTAAGACTATGTATGATCAAACTCACCGATTGTTTGGCCTTGGGTTTCGCTTTAGCAGCGGTGCCACCTGGTTTTGCTGTGCTCCTCCGTTTCTGCAGAAATGTTTAAGAAAAAACCTTAAACGGACAGAACTGCAGGCAGGGAGTGTTACAGAAGAGCCAAATTTAAATATTTGATTTCTTCTTAAATGATTAAATATTACCATTTTACATACAAAATATAAACATTGATTTGAGAAACATCTTATGGTATATAATTCAAGTCTATTTTGACAAGTTAGACTGCAATACTGAGTAGATCCAAATTTATGACTCACCAGAGAATTATATTCTTTATAAGTAGCTCTCTCTTGTGAAGATAAACTCTGTGAAGGGGAAAAAATATAATATTACCGTTGTAATATTAGATCTTTATATTAAGCTATTTGTGCTAGTGTTGAATAGGTTAAATAACAGTAAAGATACGTACCGCAAGCCACTGCTCGAGCAGCACTTTGTACTGTCTCTGTTTCTCTTCTGCCAGTCTTTTGTAGCGGTCCTTCTCTTTCTGAGGGAGCCGCTGCCAGCGGCCTCCGATTTCACCCATGCGCTCTTTCATGGGCAGATGATTCAGCTCGCCGTTTGACAGCATCTCCTGAGAGAACTTCTGATAACCGTTCCTGAAGTCACAGGTGAAGAGGGCATGAATGAAAAGAGTGGGAAGGTAAGACAAGCGAGCTGCCTCAAACACACCAACAGCTTTTTCCTTGTAGAGGTTTAAGATTTGTAGATAACCGTCACACACAGAACAAACTTACGAGGGCGGTTTCTTCGGTTCACCATCAAATTTCATTTTCTTCCCAGGGGTGACGACTGGGGCAGGCGATCGCATCTCACTCAGCTCTCTCTGCACAAGACAGACGAATAAAAAGGGTATGAAATCTTGCACACACAAAGTCAGAAAGAATAAAATGCAGACAGCAGGCATATGATCGGTTACTTTATTGAAGGCAGTTTGACTTTAATGCCACAAAATGTTTGGATATGTCTGAACTCACTTCATATCTCTTCTGGTCCTCTGCAGCCTTCTTGATCCACATGATCTTTTCTTTCTTCTCCATGGTGTTCCAGGTGGCCTCCATGGCTTTTTGAGCTTTCACTCGATCATTCTGAGAAAGCAAAGAAGAGGGAGAGATCAGTGGATTATATATTATTATTATAACAGTATATACTGTCATAAAAAATAAAAAAAAAGTGTCAACTGTTATATTCTTATTTGCACAACCTTTAAAGGGTTACTCCACCCCAAAATGAAAATTGTCATTAATCCCTTACCCTCATGTCGTTCCAAACCCGT